TCATACACTGTCATTCTTTACTAAAAGAAACATATGGTATTCCCAGTCACAGAATATATTCAACAATAATTTTGTCCTCAAGTAAAACGTGCTTGAAGTATCTTAAATTTTGTATCATGTATCCTTTCTGCCACTCTCAGGCTAATGACACTGTTCCTATCAAGGCTGAGTACTCTCTTAAACTCCAAAAGAAAGTATGGTTAAAAGGTATATTGAAATATACACAGTTGGAAATGAAAATGTTTATTTTTTTTTCAGGCATAAGATGACCAACAGAATGCCAAATGAAGGGTCAGTTTGGGAATGAGCTTTCATTTCACCAATTTTATGAACAAGTCCTAGATTATATGAGGAAAGGAAAAATCAAAAGTGTATGGTGATAGGCTTTTAAGGGAAGTATTTTCATTTCTTGTTTAAAAGAAGGAAAAAGGGTAAACATCTTTTTTTTGAGCCATAATTTATGGCTTTTCAAATTTTGTTTTTTTCAAATGCTTCATACCTATGTGAAGTGAAGGGGAAAGAAACTGAAAAATGCTTTTAAAAGGAACATAAACTAGAGAGTCCATGGGAAAAACAGAAAAATGAAGGGGTGCAAATAGAAGATCCAAGGATATTGAGTAACGGACAGACAATGGTGCCAAATGGCCTCTCTGCCTATTTGTGTTTGGGATCAAAAGCATTTATTCCTTGTGATTGGTGGAGCCTTCTGGTTACTAATCCCCTTGAACAATATCTAAAATTCAAATTAAGCCAAATTCCATGTTGCTGTAAGCCATCTTCAATGTCTATTTTCTCTAAGTATCAAAGAAATTATATGGGCTAAGTAATTCTCAGAGCACTGCATAAAGTTTAGCTCTTTCCTCAAGAATCGTAAGAAACTCAGAGTGTATGCTCTTTTTCACTTTCACGAATCTTTTTATTATAAAATTTGACAGAAGAGAGTGGAGAGAAGCCCCCAGAGACTTTTTATTTTCTTCACTGACAAAAAAAGCACATCACTTTTAGCAATTTTTTTTCTTTTTCCTTCTATATTTATTTTGTATGAGATCTGACTGAAACCACACAAGGAAAGAAACCTACGTTTGGTTTCTGTATTTTTTCTCCCCAGCCAAAAGAAAGGTTTGAAGTGACATTGCAGGTTATTTCCAGGGTAATTTTTCTTTTATTTTTAAAGAGCAAATTCTCTGAGTCTCAAAGTCAGCAACAAGCAATCCATACATGACGAAATATGAAGCTCCCAGTGGTGACGTGGGCCCACTGTGATCCTTGCTGACATTGCATGAAAATTATGAGGATAAGAAATGGTGAGACTTGGAATAAGACTCCAAACCTAATCTAGAGGACTTGGCTCTGGGTGCTGGCAGTCTGAGACACAAGTGAAGTCACAGGTGTGCCCATCTTGAGCACCATACACTCTGCCCTGCTTCTGTGTCTGAAGCACAGCCTTTTTTTTTTTTTTTTTTTTTTTTTTTTGTACCGGGGATTGAACCCAGGGGCCCTCAACCACTGAGCTACTTTTTAAAATATTTTATTAGAGATAGGGTCTCCTGGGATTGTTTAGGGCTTCACCAAGTTGCTGAGAAGAGCTTTGAACTACTGATCCTCCTACTTCAGCCTCCCGAGCTGCTGGGATTACAGGCTGTACCATAGCGTGCCACTACACAGTCTCTCTTGATATACTTCATCTCATGTTTTCATTGAACATGTCTTACCCAAGGTCATGGCTTCATTGTAATGACTAAACTTATAACAGTGACTGTCTGCAGATTTTATTTTCCAAGAAGATTGGGTTCAATTGGAGAGTGCAGAAGGAAAAGATTGCAATTAAGTTATTAGTGTCCTAATAAGTGTGCAAGATAGTTTAAGCCATGCTAAAATTAAGATGCTTGATAAACAGAAGAAAGAGTTCCAGGTAGCCATGTCCTTTGCATATTCTTCAAGAAATGAAATGGTTTTTAATTTTGAATATTAGATCATCCAGAACCTCAGATTCCCTTGAGGTGATGTATGGATATGATTCTTTAGTTAGGTATTGTCTTATTTCCAGTGTTTTTTGACATTTCTTTGAAAAGTCAGAATCATTCTATGACAGCATTGACAAAACTATCAAATTTACATCATCTGTCGGAATCTTTAACAAGTTATGAGATGATAATGACTGTATCTGTAAAGTATCTAGTCATGTTACTTCATTTCAAATACCAATTACCATTTTGATTTGATGGAGGATAATGAAAGTTGGAAGTTTCATGGGAATTTTTATGTGAATAGAAGAAATGCAGCATGCATTCATGTATGTCTGAGTATTTGTCTCAGAAACAATACACGTTTTTATTATAAGCAAGTGGCAAAGAGATGATAAAACTCTAAGTAAGTGATCCTAGTCACCCCCACCCCCACCCTGTGATATTCTTGGGTGCATTTAGAGCCTGTTATGTCAAAGGCTCTGATACCCAGATGCTGCTTGATGAATGCTAGAGGGTTCCTTGTCTTTACCTAGGTTTGGGGTTTGAAATTTCCCCAAGAAATGGGAAGAATTTTTTTGCCTTTAGAATTTTGAAATCTATGTATGTGATCCTAAATAATCTAGTTAATTTTGCCTCTTTGAACTGTACAGACTGGAATTTTATGGTATGAATTATTTTGTGTGTCATTAATTCCCACAGAATAGTGTGTATATAAAATCCTCCCACCTTGTTGCACATGCCTTCATCTTTTCTCTATTAGGCTGCCCAGAATTCCATTATGTGCACATATCACAATTTGTTAATCCATTTTGCTTTGGGAACTTGAGTTGTTTGATGACAGTGTGACAGTATGTTATGTTCATCCCTACGTATGTCTATTACATGTTTGCAAGTGTTTCTCAACTGTATGCATGCAGAAATGGATTCCATGGGTCAAATATATGCATTCAAAAAATTCAAATAAGTATGCATATTCATTGCAGTTATGATAATTCTAGTTGCTCTGTATAGTCAGACACTCTCAGGTTTTCAGGTGTTTGCAATTCTAGTGGATTTTTAGGGTCATTGTAATTTTAATTTGCTATTTCTTGATTCAATAAGCTTGAGAATCATCTGTGAAGTTTGTCTTTTGTGAATCTTTTGTGACGTGTCTGTTCAAGACATTTGCCTAATTCCTTCCTTCCTTCTTTTTTGTTACTTGTGATTTTCTTATGTTTGGGAGTTTTCTTCACATTCTGAGTATAAATGCTTTACTAGTTTTAGATATCTCAACTTTTCTTATTCTGTGACATCCTTTCGTTTTATGTTGTCTTCCCTGACTACTAAGAAAAAAAAAAATGTCATTCACTTTTAAGTGCTTCTGTTTTGATTTAAAAAAAAAAAAAGAAAAAAATTCCAAGACTGTGTTACTATGTATCCTTGTAAGGTTTTGCAGTTTTTTTTTTCAATATAGGCATATAATCCACCTCATATTACTTTTTGTCTATTGGAATTTCCAATTTATATTTTATATAGATATTAACTATATTATTTCCTGAGAAAACTGATACTTTCCCACAATTCTTTCCTTATAAGTCTGTGTTTCCCCTTTTTGTTTCCCCTTTTTCATAATTAAAATTTCCTCATATGCAGGGGTCTGTTTAAGGGTTCTGCATTCCGTTTCCTTGGTCCCTTGTCTTTCTGTACCAGTACCAAATTGCCTCGATTATTATGGCTTTATAAAATGTTTTAAAGTCTAGAAGAGCACTAATTTAAATCTTGTGAATATTTTAAAAGATCTTGGCTGTTTACTTTCCATATAAATATTTGAACTAAATGGTTAATTGCCCCCCCAAACTATTACAATTTTGGTTTATGATAGTTTAATCCATTCTACACATTATGAGGAGAATTAATCTCTTTATGATATTAATTTTTGCAGTCTATGTAAACATTATTTATCTGAATTTATTTAGTTGTTCAATTCCCAATAAAATTTTTTAAATGTATTTGTTAGTAAGAATTTGACAATATTATTAATTATATTCTAAATAGTTTTCATTCACATTGCTGGAACATAATAATTAGACTGAATTTTATGTATGTTTTTTTTCTTTTACAACATTGCTAAGTTGTTTCTGATTCAAATATTTTACCTTAAAATTATTTTGAATTCGATCTTATAATTTTTTTTGTGATATTTATACATTTCATATCCTCTTCTTGTCTTAATATACTTAACAAACTTCAGTACAGTGTTCATTAGAAGCTGTAGTTAGCATACATGTTTGCAATCTAAAATGAAACATTCAAAAATTAAATATTATATTTATTATAAAGATCTGTAGATATTCTAATTTTAAGAAACTTGGAATCTGCTTACAGTTCTATAATCAATTATTTTGAGTAACAAATGCTTCTTCCGTCTGGGATGAGATGTTTATGTGATTTTTCCCCCTTTCATTTCTTAAGAATGCAAAATGCTAAGGTGAATTTACTAAAGTTAAAAAAAAAAAAAAACTTTTCTTTATATAAATCCAATAGTCAGGGTATATTATCCTTTTTAAATACTTCACATCTATAAATTCGCAGACCTGATGTATATTTTTTAACCTGTGTTCATAGGTGAGATAAATCTGTAGCTTTTGTTTTTGATGTTTTCCCATTAGGTTTTGCATCAAAGCCTGCAATTTTCAATATGGTAAAATTTTAATTATAATAGTTATTTGACTGACTGACTGTCATGACTCCCATAAAAATGGTGAGTTAATGCTCATAGGAAATTTAGATTTTATTTTTATTGAATTAGTTTTGTTAAATTGTACTTAAGTAGGATTTGTTCATTTCTTTTAAAATTTCAAGTATATTAAAATTTACATTGCATAATAATAGTTTTGTGATGTTTACAGGTAACCAAGCCCCCCCTCTCTTATTTTTTGCTTATTTATTTTTTTTGTGGCACTGGGGATTGAATCCAGGGGTGTTCTACAACTGAGCTATATCCTAGCCCTTCTTAAACTATTTTTTTTTTTTTTTTTTTTTACTTTGAGACAGGTTCTTTCTCAGTTGCCCAGACTGGCCTTGAACTTGTCTTCTCCTGCCTCAGCTTTCAGAATAGCTGTGATTACAGGTGAGCACCACTGCACCCAGCTCTTTCTCTCTCTCTTTTTAAGAGAAAAATAATTTTAAAACATGTCACATCTCACCAGAAGGTTCCCCTATTTCAGGTCTCACTACTTAGAATGTCTTTTTTCTACCCTAAACCATCTCTTGCTAAGGGTTGTGGGATTATGATTTGCTTCAGCAATGGAGAATCTGTTTCTTTCTTGATGATTTCGCTAGGGAAATGTGAATGATGAAACAACTTGACCACTAATGAAAAATAGAGAATAGGTTTGGATTTAACATAACAATTGACATTATCTAACACACACACACAGAAAGAGAGAGAGAGAGAGAGAGAGAGAGAGAGAGAGATAGCAATTTAGTTAGTCTATTGCTTAACTGCTTTGAATTGGAATCCCAACCTTGTAATTGGAAAAGTCCTGATTACTACAGGGGAAAAGGGTGACTCTTTATTTTTTATTTTGGTTATAATTTATGCATTTAACAAGATTGCAGCGATGACATTAGTTTTTGAATCCAGTTGAGTGTTCTGTGGTCAGTAGAGAACTAGTGCATAATATTTTGAAGTAAGATATCTTTCCCTGATTTAGCTCAAACATGCACTGGCACAGGATAAGACATTCATTTCTGTAAATTAGCATTAGCATGTGCTAGTGGCCTTAACAGAGAGGTGAAGAGTCCAGTGGTTGTGGTGGGATAGTAATCTGTTTCTCCAAGTCTGGATGAGGTTCATTGGTGTTCAATTTCTCAGGGAGGTAAAAGACATTATGAGCATGAGAGTGTAGACTGAAAATAGACCAAGACACTTTTGTATGTAAATGACTGAAATGGTTTAATTAGATAACTTAGATATGTGTCTATCCAATGGTCAAGGAATCTGCAGTCATGAGACTTCCATGTACACAGCAGTTCTATTATTGCAAAGAGGGGGAGAATTTATTTTTGGTAGACAACTTAGAGATTCTGCTTGTTTTAGTTAGCTTTTACACTGCTGTGACCAAACCGACCTGACAAGAACATATTTAGAGGAGGAAAAGTTTATTTTGGGGCTCCTAGTTTCAGAGGTCTCAGTCTGTAGTTGGCAGACTCCATTCTGTAGGGTCTGAGATGCACCTTGGTTATAGAGTGTGGCAGTTGGGAGCATGGTACCTAGGAAGCAGAGGGAGAGAGTAGTCCACTCGTCAGAGAAAAATATCTATACCCAAAAGGAATGCCCCCAATGACCCAGCTCCTCCAACCACAGCCTACTTGCCTACAGTTACCACCAGTTAATTCCTATGAGAGAATTAATGTACTTATTAGGTTAAGACTCTTATAACCCAATCATTTGCCTCTGAGCTTTATTGTGTTGTCTCACACATGAGCTTTTGGGGGACACCTTATATCTAAAACATTACACTGTTATACTGTCAATCAGTGTTTAAAAATCAATGTATATGTCAGAAACAGAAAGAAAAGTAATAAATCCTTAGAACAGATTTTTTTTTAACATTTCTAAGAGTTTCCTATGGCATTGAAGGTTTATGATATGACATGCTTATAAGAAAAACGTTTCACAGTTCAGAAAAACTCCTACCACTTGCATGCCTTAAAAAATCATGTCACACTGCATTGCATAAAACATTTTATATATCCAATTTGTTTTCAAATCTAGTATGTGTTCTTGGCTTTAATGCTGATACCAGCATCTCATCACCAGGTGGTCTCTATTCATGTGATGACTGTAGAAAGCTCCTTAATACTCAGGAAACTGTTATTAAGTCTACCAACATTCCTCCAGAAATGTTGAAGCAATTTTTTCTTTAGGCCAGTATTGCCTGTTTATTTTACTGATATTGCATTTACAGGTCCTAGTATAATGTTATACTGAAAGAATAATTAGAACATGGGTAAATCAGAAACTAGGTAAAAGAGATTATACCTTCAAAGATACATTTTAGAAAGGGAAAACAAATATTCAATATGCTCATTTGTATTCTGTGAACTCTATATCTAAAAAAAAATTCACTAGGATACATTGTAAAATTTGTGCCAGGTTAAAAACTGTCAAAAGAACAGTTGTAGACATGCAGAAATGTTGAGTTAAAACAAGCAAAACAAAAGTGTGAGCATATCTCTTCTTATTGTCATCAGAGTATTACACACTGATTTTAGCATTTTACTTTTTTTAATATTTATTTTTTGTAGTTGTAATTGGACACAATAACATTCTTTTATTTATTTATTTATTTTTATGTGGTGCTGAGGATCGAATCCAGGGCCTTCCACGTGCGAGGCAAGCACTCTTCTGCTGAGCCATAACTCCAGCCCCAGCGTTTTACTTTTGTAGAGAGATTCATCATAGTGTTTTCTTTTGTAGTGTCCAATCTCATTTTTATGTTTGTAAATCCATTTTGACTTGTTTTTTTGTAACTGTTGAGAGACAAGTCTCCAGTTTCATTCTTCTTATAAGGATATCTAATTTTCCCATTATTGAAAAGACTGTTCTTTCTCTGGTACCCATTCTTAGTACCTTTTTTGAAAACCTGTTGGCTGTGGATGTTTGGGTTGTCTTTTAGGCTATCTATTTTATGCCTTTGGTCTACATGTCTGCATATATGACAAGACTTTGTTGTTTTGACTAGTACAGATTTGTAGTGCATATTAAAGTTAATGGCCCCTGTTCTTATCTTTATGCTTAATATTGCTTTGACGGTTTAGGGATTTGTGGTTTCAAATAAATTTTAGTACTTTTTTCTTTTAGTTTTGTGAAGAATGTCATTATTATTTTGATAGAGATTGCATTGAAACTCTAGATTACTTTGGGCGGTATGAACATTTTAACAATATTGATTCTTCCAATCCATTTACATGGTATGTCCTGTTTTTTTTGTTTTTGTTTTTGTTGCCTTCTTTCATTTCTGACATTAATGTTTTAGTTTTGTTGTTGAGGTCTTTTACTTCTTTGGAGGAATTTTAGGTTTTACTAAAAAGTTCAGCAGAAGATATGGAGGCTTCTGGAATACCTCCTGCTTCCACTTATGAATAACTTCCTTCACTATTGGCATCTCCTTCCAAAGTGGTACATGTGTTAACAATTGATAAGCCTGCAGTTATATATCATTACCACCCAAAGTGCATAACTTATATTAGTATTCCTAGTTGGTGTTGTACATTATATGGGTTTCGAAATATTCATAATGACATTTATCCATCATTATAATATCATGCAGAAAAATTTCATTGCACTAAAATTCTCTTGCGTTTTACCCATTCATCTCTACCTTCCCCTTGACCCTTGACAATCACAGATACTTTTACTGTTGCAATAGATTTGGTTCTTCCAGAAATAATGTTGTAAATGAAAACTATGTAGGCATTCATGATTAACTTCTTTCATTTAGAAATATGCAGCAAGGTTAAATGCATTTAAGTCTCTTACATGTCTTTTCATGGCTTGACAGCTCTTTTCTTTACGCCCTGAATTGCCTTCTATTGACTGTATGTTGCCACTATTTATTCACCCATTTAGTTACCTACAGACGTTTGGTTGCTTCCCAGTTGGGGCAATTATGAAAAAGCTGCTATAAACAGCCTGTGTATGTTTTGTGTGGATCTAAGTTTTAAACTTCCTAAAGCAAACGCCAAGGAGCATGACTGCTGGTGAGAGCAGGTATGGTTTTGTAAACAGCTGCCAGACTGTCTTCCAAACTGGAATACCATTTTGCATTCCCAACAGCAGTGAATGAGAGTGGCATCTGCTCCCTATCCTCACTAAGTCATTGTTGGCAGTGCTGTGATCGTGGCCAGTCTCAAAGGTCTGTGGTGACAGTGGTGATTTATTGTTGTTTAGATGTATTTAATTTTAAGTAAATATTATAGAACTACTTATGAACATTGATACCAAAGAACAATAAAGTTAACAATACTCTCTCTTTCTTTTTAAATATCTCTTTTTGCTTTCTATCATATGTTGTTACATCTCCAAAACAAAATAAAAATAAATCTCCAAAATAACAATATTTATTTCAAATTAACTAAACTTCCAGCTTACTCTGTAGATATCTGGGGTATAACTGCAACTTAATGGAATAGTCATTGTGTTAGTAAGCCATCAGCATGGCCAATATTTAGATAATATTTATAAATAAATCTTTATAAAATTATTATCCTGTAGTCTGATCACATTCATAATAACAATTTATCTTAAAATTTGAATAAATACATATAATTTTACATTGATATCAAATATTGAAACATTTTTTGTCTTCACATGAGATTATTTAACAAACTTTTGAACTGGGCTATAATTGGGTCTCTTAATTTTGCCAGAAAATATTCATTTCGACACTAAAACTTAAATATCCTCTCATTGCTCATATTCTTTATCACTCTTTATCACACACACACAAATATTAATTAGTGTGCAAAAAGCTTAACTTGCATATTTTTTTCCTTCTTATTTGTCAAAACTAATATCAGTAAGGGTTAAATCCGTAATAGTAATGTTCTGGTCCTACTTTTAATAAATGTAGTATAATAGCTTCCACTTGTTGCTGCTTTCCTTTTTTTTTAAAATTTTGTTTTGTTTTGTTTTTAAGAAACTCACTATTATGCCACCTTTCAGTTCCACTTTAAATCTGTACCTCCTTCCCTTCTTAGCTCTTCTAAACTCTCAATACATGCTGCCTTTGCCTGGCCAGCTCTTCAGTCTTGACTGTTCCTGTCTTCCATTCTTCATACTCTTTCTCTTAGGAGTAATAGAAAGGAAGCCAATACACTTGGTATGTTTTAATGTGAGTCTTCATACTCCTGATCTCAAACAAATTCATGTTATTAAAATTTGTTGAGACCCTCTACGAAGATTTGTTTATTTGTTTCTGTGGCTCTTATCTGGCAGTATCCACAAGATTAGAATTTAAAACTAACATTTTTCAAAAACATTTTTATTGCATTTGAATATAAATAGTATATTATGAAAAATAATAACTTTTAAAACCAAGTGGTGAGGTGAGTAGCTTTGTT